CAGGACTAGTTTTACACCATCTGCATTCCTATTCCTCAAGATTAGATGGGTTTTCAAGATGACGGCGCTGTTAGTTAGCTTCCTGTTATGAATACGTACTTGGCATGATTTTGAGTAGTTAAGGAAGTGTAGATTCAAAAGAAAAAAAAAACACAACAAAACCTAAAACACAAAGCTCCAAACACCTCTGGCAATATCTAGTCCTTGCATCACCAGCCTTAAAGCAGAGAACACAGCTGAGCCTTCTGTCCCCACGCAATCCGACCCTCTCAGCCCCAGCCAGCTGATGCTGTTGCTAGCAAGGGATCCAAATATCCATGACCTGGGTAGAACAAACTTCCCCAGCATGAAACACAAGAGTGTGTTGTACTGTTGCGAGCCCGCAGGCCCATTACAGGCCTCACAAGGACACGAAATAGCAAGTTGTCACTGAGTTCTAAACCATCCTGGCAGCAGTGAATGGCTCGGTTCCACGTAGTGGATGTGTTACACTTTGCTGTGCCTCAGCACTGCAGCTGCCAGGGGGTACCGACTAAAATCCTACTAAAAGTAAAAAAAAAAAATAATCTCCTAACAAGGGACTAGAAAAGAAAATAGACCCTTACTTTTACCTGCTGCACTTCTGTTCTCATTTTCCTTCAGGTTCCTTTCACCTTCATCAGGTCCCAGTGCACAACTTCCCAGCTCAGCGTGCTCCTTCAGAACCCGATCAAACAGCTCGGAAGACTCTGAACGCGTGAAATCCTCCCGCCTTGCCCCCACTCTCATTGGTGCGGTAATGAGCATCAGTTTTCCAATACTCGAGCTTGGAGATTTACTTTCCCATTGAAATCTGATCAAATTAATTCAAGGACTTTTAATGAAAGATCTTGTGACAAAACACAGTAACCTCTGTCCGTACAAAAGCAGCATTAAGGGGACACTTTCCACCATCCCCGCGGAAGACCAGGAAAACTTTCCTCCACGTTACCCACGGCACAAGGAGTATTCATTGGCACACCCGATGGGGTGGCATTGGGAAGCTGTGTATTTAAAGTCATCAGAATTTTCCAACAGATGAAATATTGTGTATTGTTTTCCCCAATTGTTTTCTTACAGAATTAAACACTTAATGCTGCTAAGGCAGTCTTTACTACACAAAACGTTCACCCCAGCTTTGATTGTGCTTACGTGAGCGCCAAGTCGTGGTGTATTCTGGAAGCATTTTTTTCTGCTTGCTAGAATGACTTTTGCCCCCCACATTCCCAAAGCTGGTGTTCATGGAAGGGCTCCCCAGACCCTCTCCAGTAGCTTCTTTTCAACACCAAACACTGGAGAAGGAGCTGACAAGCAATGGGTTTGTCCTAGCCCTAGGTCGTACAACCCAAACCCAGTTCACTACAGAGAAGACAATGCTGGGAAGGACTGGCACCAACGCAGAAGTTTTTGTTAATCCACCACTTTTTTCACTCCTGAGAAGACACCCGAGTTCAATCCCCGTTTTACAGGCGGTGGTGAGCACAGCTGACTGCCACGCAGTCGAGAGGACAGCCAGGGGCTCGGTTACATCTTCCAACCTTCTGCTTTAATGATCTTTTCTTCAAGTGAAGTCATTCGTTAGCTTCAGTCTCTAATGCCATTTACGCAATTTGCAAGTCTCCAAAATAAGTCTGCACCGTGTCCAAGAAATTAAAAAGGAAACTGGCAATGTTTTTCCATCAATGAAAGTCTTCGGCATAAATAAATAGTTGAAATTTTATTCAAATCCATACAGCATTTCTAACCACCATCACCCGGAGCATTATCATCCCTCGGTTGCAGAAGGCACTTTCTAAAGAGGAGCGAGTATCTCACCAGAAAGATCACATTTCTGGATCCGATTTGCACTGCAACAGGAATGTAAGAAAGGGCTGCGCTAACTGCCCGCACGGGTTACTGTTCGTCTTCCTGTCCTCACTCTTAACTCCTTCTATTTTCTTTTAAAGCTCTCTAGAATTTCATAATGGCTTCAAATGTGAAGCTGTCTAGAGGTTTATAAAGTCCTTGTTGACTGGATTTGAGCATAGAAATTCAAACTATACATAAATAAAACTATTAAATAAAGATCTTTACTAAAGGAGCTATTAATTAGCCTTGTAAAACAATCGGCATGTTCCTCATCTGTTTCGTGCTACTTAACTCCCACAGACTCTCACTAAACCCAACAGAACTCATTGATAAAACATTTGGTCAGGATAAAAACCCAGGCCAGGTTCCCCAAAGACAGAGACGTGAAGGTTCTTCAAGCATTGTTCAGTAGTGTTGGATTTTTTTCTCCCCCTTCAGCAAGAAGTTCAAGCACTGGTTTTTCTGCTCTGCCTCAGCAGTAAGTGACGCTCTCCCACTCCTCTGCAGCCTCGGGCGACCCGGAGCCCTTCACGTCTCGGTCACTGCCGCTCGGGCGAGGTGTCGGCCGCGCAGCGGAAGCCCAGGTTGGAAGCAGAGCTGTCGGGAGTGTTTTGGCTGCGCGCTGCACAGCGATACCTGTAGCAGTAGGACTGCAGAGAAAGAGGAGAAAGCGTGAACTTGAGGGCGTGTTGCAGCTTGTGCTTCCTTCGGCAAGAGTTTGTTAGATGGATAAAGCAAATCTTTTCAAACACTGTCGGAAGGATCAACCACTACAGATCAAAATCACAGTGTTAGAAATAAGGGCAGTCCCACCGAGAACAGAGACCAGCTGCAGCCGATAAAAAGGTGATTCGAAAAGTGTCTCATAACATGATTGCACACTAATAATGTAATTCTGCTCTAGAAAGAAGCTACAAGGACCATTCGGCTTCTCCTTAAAATGAGAGAAAGAGCATCTCGGCACCTTCATCTGTGCAGCCACACACTCACAACTGGAAATGGACAGGTGCTGGCACCAGTCAAACCACATTTTGAACGAGATGCAGCAAGAAGAAAAGAATAGCTGGAGGCAAGCTCCTGCCCAGTATTCCCATAGCTGGTGTTCTAGGGATATTTATAAACAAGATATAATCTAGACTGGTGGCTATAAAAACATTTACATTGAAAATTAAGACACTGAAACTCATTCAGTTACATTTCAGATATTTCATACAACTTTAAATGCTGCACTCTTCCAGAACGGCTGCAATCCCACAGCACTTGCCTTGGGAGATGACAGGAGGAACAATCATTGCCATTTAATTTCTTTAGGTGAGAAAGGAGCACGAGATCACATGCCAGGACTTGCCCTCACACCATCGAATACAGCCTTTTGACGCCACTGACACGTGTCGGTGGGAAATAGTTCCTTTCCCAGCGTTGTTTGTGTTGTGCT